TCCTTCTTATCCACTAAATGTGGGATTGAATTAGAGTTTACCTAGAGAAATCTAATTTGTAGTTTGGAAAATAAGCAAAAAGCTGTTAGACTGCAATGTTGATATTCTGATCACATTACATATGCATAAGAAGATAGTATCAAGCCAAGCTTTATTTACATTTCCTAAGTGTCTTTTTTTTTTTTTTCACTTTGTGTAAACTAATGAGTGGTGCTGTTAGGGAATATATGTATCCCTCTTTGTGTAATGGATTAAGTGTGAGTCCTGTTAAACACTAGGCCATAAATCAGACTGTGTTCTCTATGCCTAATTAAGGGTTTAAAGGGGGAAAAGGTAAATTCTTGAATGAAGGGCTCTACTCAGAAGCAGAGTTTGTAATTTCACAAAGGAAGTAGAGAGATAAAGCAGAAAAAAAGAGAGCAATTTAAGAGAATGGAAGAGGAAAACTATGAAAGTGCTTTAGCCATTTTATTCTACTTTTCCTCAGATTTAAGAATGCTTTAGCTGATAAAAGGACTAGATATAAGGTGAGCATTTTTTTTTTATTTAGTGCACTTAAATGCACAATACTACAAACTGACGAGATAATTTAAAATGAGCATCAAACCATTCTAATCAACTAAAGAAGGAAAACTATATATATTGACAATGCATATAAAATTAGTTACAGAGAGGTTTTGATGAAAATCTACAATCTTTTTTTCTTTTTAGCTACAATATTTCTATAATGAGAGCACATTGAAATCTTAGAATATTAAGCTGTTGTAGATTTCTAAAACAAAAGCAACCACAGTTAACCCATTTATTTCCTAGTAGAAGAATTGTCAATAGTTTAGATAAAATTAGTCTCAAACAATATTTTTAAAACCCTTCTGTGTGTTCTGGAGTGAAGCTAATGTTTATCAGCATTTTGACTATACGTAATTAATAATGCTGATACTTGGCTCCATTTCACTTTGCTTTGTATTACTCTGAACTGCTCAGTTGAAATATTTGGGGAGGGAGCATTTTGCTATCAAGAGGGAAAAAAAAAGCAAATATATCTTGATTGGCTGCACTTTTATCATATGTACAATGAAAGGAATTATTTTACTCAGTTTCCAATAATTTATTTTTTACTCAGTAAGTATTTATTGTGGCTTTGATTATGACAAGTAATTTGCTTTGTGCTGGAAATTCATTGAATGGGGCAGGGGACAAAGAAGATAAGACACCACTTTCATGGAATTTCCAGACTACTTAGAACTTAATTGATCATTAACAAAAGATATGTAGGAAAAAAATAGGATTATTAAATATTATTATTTGTAGAATTCAGAGATTCTCAGCTTCTGCATTATATATATATTTAAGAAATAAACATTGCATGGTCATCAAGACCACCTAAGACTTCTCTCATCTCCCCTGCAACCCTTGACTCTATTCTCTTCAACTTTTATTACTCCTTCCCCACCCCACCTTCTGCTCTGTGCTGTGTCTGCTGGTGGGCATATGTGGGGGAGGGGTAGAAGAGATTTCCTTTCATTCCAGACTTCCACAGGCAATGGGATGTGGGATGGCTGGGGAAGCAATCTCAGTCCCTTATTCCTGCCTGAAACACCTAAATTTTCTCATCTATGGTCAACACTTTAATTAGCATCCATGGTGAAAATTTGTATTCCCAAATAGATCAGTCACGACACAACAACTTCTGTCCCCAGATTCTGAAGTCTCTCTTTTGTTAGTGTTGGATTTTCATATGAACATGAAACCTTTTGCAGTACAACATTACTTCTGTTTTGTTTTTTTTTCAAACTGATATTGATTACTGTTTGGATTTTATCATTACCGAATGCTAATCAATGGTTAAATATCTTGTAATATAAAATAAGGGCTTCCTTAGTGGCTCAGATGGTAAAGCGTCTGCCTACAATGCAGGAGACCTGGGTTTGATCCCTGGGTTGGGAAGATCCCCTGGAGAAGGAAATGGCAACCCACTCCAGTACCCTTGCCCAGAAAATCCCAATGTCCCAGGACATTAAAGGCTCTGCTGGGATTGATGATGGGTGACATGCACACATGAGGTTGAACTGTTGACTTCTGAACCTAGAAGCAGGAATGGGATTTTAAAAAGCAGGGAAACGCAGAGAAGGTGCTATTAGATGTCAAATGAATTTCCGCGCTATCCCTATTGCTATGTAATTGGGATGGGAATCTTAGAAAAGGAACAATTTATAAGGCAGTTCTGACTGGAACCTGTACTCTGAGTTACTCTTCTCTCCTCATTTGAAGGAAGGGTTCATGTGATCTTATATGAGATTTAAATGAATGCTAGCAGTGCCTGGTGGATGTCATCTTTCTGTTTGAATATTTTCCTAGCTCTAAATTGTCCTGACTTTTTACTGTACTTATATTTGGAAAAGCTTCTCTTAATTCCTACAAATTTGAACATTCAAATCCTACCCATCCTTCGAATCCCATTTCAAAGAACATCTTTCTTAAAGCCTTCTTTAATCTCCCCAGTAGAGTTCTCTTACTAATTTTCATAAAATTTCACTTGTACATTTCTTGTGACATTCATCACATCACATTCATCTGTTTAAAAAGATACTCATGGAATTTAGCAAGCTATAAAAGATCTATAATTGATCCATATATTCCCTCTTCACAGCATATTTATTGAGAGATTGAGTTAGTCATAAGGAAAAGTATGGTTGAATGTAGATAAGTATACACAGAAGAAAAGAATGTAACAACAGCAACAGCATCAGCATCTCTGGAAAGGGGCCCACCTCTATTCTGGTGCTATGTGAAACATATGCTATTTGGGTAGAGAATTTTGATCAAATCTTTAATCAGACTTAGTTTCTATAGACTCATTGTTGTTTGGTTTCTAAGTGTTTGACTCATTGCGACCCCATGGCCTGTAGCTCACCAGGCTCCTCTGTCCATGGGATTTTCCAGGCAAGAATACTGGAGTAGGTTGCCCTTTTCTTCTCCAGGGGATCTTCCTGACCAAGGGAACCCCTGTCTCCTAAGTGGCAGGCAGATTCTTTACTACTGAGCCACCTGGGATAGGTAGAATCTAAAGTGTCAGTTGATAATACTTTGCTCACTGTCAAAGAATGGATGTATAAACAACTTTTGTTTTAGTTTTTTAAAATACAATCATTTACATCTCCTTAAAGTGGATGATGGACTTCCCAGGTGGCTCAGTGATAAAGAATCCCCCCCCCAATGCAGGAGATGCAGGTTCAGTCTCTGGGTCTGAAACATCCTCTGGAGAAGAAGATCACAACCCAGTGTGATTTCCGCTCCAGTATTCTTGCCTGGGGAATCCCATGGACAGAGCTTGTTGGGCTACAGTCCAGGGGGTCACAAAGAGTTGGACATGATTTACCAACTAAACAACAACAAAGTGCGTTGATATATTTTCTTTAATGATCAGAATTGGTTATTAAAGAATAATAATTTTCTGCAAAGGAACTGAATATGTATGTTTTCCAAAAGTTCTTAAGCACTATTTCACAAACAAATAACAAATTATGTTTATATATATATGCTATGGTCTGATTGCTTTAAATAAGTATTTCTGAATGGAAGAGAAAACATTAGAATGAGCATACAGATGCAAATGTAATATGACTTTAATGTATATGAAATGTAAAGTTAAAATGTAATACACAGGAATAGAGTTATACAAAGGGCTTCCCTGTTAGCTGAGATGGTAAAGAATCCGCCCGCAAAGCAGGAGACCTGGGTTCAATTCCTGGGTCAGGAAGATCCCCTGGAGAAGGAAATGGCAACCCACTCCAGTAATCTTGCCCGGAAATCCCACGGCCAGATGAGCCTGACGGGCTGCAGGCCATGGGGTCACAGGAATCTGACATGACTTAGAGACCAAACTACCACTACTTTCAGCCCAGGGATAACTTCAGTGTGTTCTCTAAATCCATTTTTAAAAAGAAAAGAAAAAAAATGGAGATAATCTTTTGATATTTAAAAACAATGAATAGATTTTTATTCTAATGAATTAATAAGGTAAATATTTTTAAAGAATTAGCATAATCAGTTCTTTATGATTAAGTACTGCCTCTGCTTAATTTCAAATATTTTTATTACTTCAGTCATTTGACACTGTTCTCAAAAGAATCACCTTACTATAATTGTTTCATTCTTAGACATACATCTTTTCATTAGACGTTCAAGTTAGGAGTATTTATTTTTAAGCATTGCAGTTTAGAGTAATAGAAACAATATGGGATTAGGGTCAAAAGACTTGAGTTTGATTCAGAACTGATTTAGCTAGAGACCTTGAGTGCAATGTAATGTTTTTAAGCTTCATTTCCTCTTTTGTGCAGTAGAGGGAAAAATATATGTTTAACTGCGTTGTTTTGAGGATGAAATGAGATAATGTATATGAAAAAACAAGACTACTATTTACATACTTTATTATTACAGTCAGGAAATAACCGTACATAAATCATCCAGAATGAGTGCTCCTTTTGTTTTTTTAGATACCCAAGATAAATACCCACATAATTAATGTGTGGGTCACAGAGCCATTTCTTTCTTGGCGTAACAATAACTTTACCGACCTAAACACTTCACCAGCGATCTAAGAAGTTGGAAAGGTTACAATAAACTTTCAAGGCTTAACACTTTTTTTTTGGTAGTTCACTAGCAAGGTTAACAGTCCAACTCTTCACGCACCCCAAACCTGGCCATTACAAACAATTTTCAAATACACAAGCGTTAGCTGAGCAATTGTTTAAATTCTCATCATGTTTTATGCTGTAGAATGATGACTGGACACTATTTAAAATAACTACTGCTAAGACACCGCACGGCACTGATCCACGGCCACCGCGCTTTGGTCTCGCATTGATTTAGATGATGTAGGGGCCCAACACTGTGTCAAGTTGCACCTTCAGTATTAGCTCTATATCAGAAGAGGCTCCCCCCCACCCCCGTCCCACCCTTGCAGGCTCTGAGAATCTACCTAGCCCAGCAGAAAAGGGTTAAAGGTGTCCAGCAGAGGGGAGCAGTGCAGAGAGAGAGAGAATGCGTGTGCGAGCGAGTGTGAGCGCACAGGACAGAGGCGTCGAGTTGTGGAGCGGACTCGTACGCAAGTTCCGAAGGCCCGCGTGTTCGCGGTGGCTGGCCCAAAGGGGGCCGGAGAGGCTCGGCCTGCGAGGAGCGGGCAGCGCCCGGAGGGGCTCGGAGTCTGGGTGGGAGGGAGAGGGGTCTCGCGAGGGTTTCAGGGCGTGGCTGGAGTGGGGGGCGCGCGGCGAGTGTGCGCGCGCGAGAGAGGGCGAGTGTGAGCGCGGCGAGTGTGAGCGCGGCGAGTGTGCGGCCGCGTCGCCATTCCCCGTGACGTCAGAGTGTATTGTTGTGAGCGGGGCCGAGCGGAGCATCCCCGGAGCTGTCACCGCGGCGGCGGCGCAGTGCAAACCCCGCACGAGCGAGCCCGGCCGGCGCCGCCCCCGCCCCCGGCCCCGGCTCCGGCCCAGCCCCGGCCGCGCCGCCGCCGCCGCCGCCCCCGCCCCCGGCCCGCCCGTCGCGCGCCGCCGCCGCCGCCCGCGCGCCCCCACCCAGCCCACCCCACCCCCTCGCTCCATCCCTCCCACCCGCCGCCCGCGCGCCTCCCCCCGCGGAGCGAGTGCGGGTCACCGGGTCACTGGGTCATTGTCTCGGCGCCCGAACCCCGAGCACCCCGTGGAATCCCCCACGTCATCAGCAGAACCATCAATGAGATGCAAACATGAAAGACAAGAGGAAGAAGAAGGACCGCACCTGGGCCGAGGCTGCCCGCCTGGTACGTACCGCCCCCCGCCCGCCGCCCCGCGCCGGCCCGCGCCGGCGGAGACGGCCGCTTCCAGCCCGAGCCGCCGCCAGCTCGCCGGGCTCCCGCTCTTTGTTATTCTGCGGGAGTGGGCTCGCCCGGGGGCCCCAGTGTGTGTGTGAGTGTGTGTGTGTGTGTCTGTGTGTGTGTGCGTGCGCGCGCGGAGGGGCACAGCGATTATCTCGGGGAGCCCGGCGCCCGCCGCGCCCGGGACCGCCCGGGACACTTCTCCGGGTACTTCGCTCTCGGGGCTCGGCCGTGCCTCCTCCGCCGGGGAATTTCCGAGCGCCCGGCCGCGCTCCGCTTCGCTCTGCCGCTCCGGAGACCTTTGTGTGGCAATTACCACTCCCTCCCGGCCCCTCCACCCCCCGGAATTCCATCGATAACTCTCCGTGCACGGTCTGTGTGGGTTTCGACGTTTGTGAGTGCATACATTTCACACGTGCCTGCCCGGCGTGTGTCCGAGCCGGACTTGTGGGGCGTGTTGCATGTGGGCTCCGTCGTGGCGCCTCTGTGTGCCGTGTCGTGTGCATTATGTATGCACACTGATACGTGCAGGTTTTGTGTGGCTCAAGTTCGCTGGTGTTTGTAGGTATTGTGCTCAGCCCGATGTTTGTGTGTACATTCCGTGCACGTGTGTGCCATTTGTGAGTGTGTGTGTCCGGGTGTGTGTGTCTGTTCCGTGAAGTTGAGTCAGTGTCATTTGTAGTGGGGGGTTAGTAAGAGTGTACAGCTAGGTGTGTTTCGCTGCTGGCTTCCTGGGCGGTGTTACTTCGCAGCTTTTCCTTTTCTTTAACCTTTCGGAGCTTACGTTTTAATCAGCGGAAGAATGTCTCTATAGAAATGCTGGTTGGCAGAGGGGCGTCGGCGTCTTTGGTTTGATGTCTGTGTACGTGTGGGTTTCTCTTTTTTTTTTTTCTTCATCTTCTTTTAACGGACAGCTGTAAGCGGTTTTTTTTTTTTTCTTTTCTTTTTTTAAGGATATTTCTGTACAGCGTGTCTCACGGGAATGTAAGGCATTACATTTGAAGCTTAGCCTTTCAGGCTTTCGGTTGCATAAATTAAATATTTATTCACCAACTTACTATCTGTTATAAATTGACCAAAAGAAGGCAGACTGCATGCAGCGGGGGTGGGGGTGGGGGTGCGCGGAGCTGAAAACCCCAGGATATGTTACTGGGTTGACTTTGTAAAGATTGTTTTACTATAACTGTGTTTTGTTTTGTTTTGTTTTGTTTTAAAGCTTTTGAGTAACTACATCATGTTCAAGGAGAACATTTGTCAAAAGTAATTATCTGAGTTTGGTTGAAGGGCCTTGCTGGTATGTTTCTGGATTCTGGCAAAGGGTTTTAGATAATTGGCCCTATTGCCCTGCGCAGAAGTGACAGAAGTCCTTCTTAATTGCGGTCTAGTTATTGGTAGCTGAAGTGGCCGGGCCCCTTTATTCATTTTTAGTTTGTAATAGTGTATGCTATGATTTCTCTCTTTATCTGCGGTCCTGTTAATCGCTAAATCACTGTCTCCGTGGATGAATGGGCAGGTAATAGTCATTCTCTAATGAACTGCATCTGGGAGAGTGAACTTATTTGTAAGGAATATGTGAAAAGTAAGCAGTGTTAAGTAAATGCCAGATTGATGTTATCACTGGATTTTTGCTAGAGGAGAGTAGATTATTTATTGTTTGCTCAGCCATTAATTCAGAATTGTGTGGGGAGTGTACACCGCTTCTGAAAGTGCATTATTCCACTTCCTTGGAGTGGCAGTCAAGTATTATTATAGAGCTTCAGTGTATGTATTTTAAACAAGTGAACAATGAGTTGATTTATAAATATTTTAAAATAATGGTTCATGAATTAGCTATATCTGCCTGCAGAGAATTCTTAATAAATAACAGTATTCTGATGGAATTTAAAGCTAACCATTTGTATTCAATCAGTATATGTTGCTATTCTTGAAAAGTACTACACAATAAATGATTTAATTGTCTAGTAGTGATAAATCTCAAAATAGTTTTCAGAGTTACATGTTTTTTGTTAAAAGTTTCATTTTCCTCTTGCAAAGTTCATTGATGGGAAAAGACACACTAGGAGTCATCAGCACAAAAGAATTAATGATAGACCAGATGTCTCTGTTTTAACCAGACATATTGAACTAGTAGTTATGGTAATTTTTCAATTTGGTTCAAGTTATTTTTCCCCTGGTAGTTGTACAAATGTGTAAGTATTCAAAATGTGACAGTTGAAATAAAATACTGAATAATGTAGCAAATAATTGTTATTGTAAATATCTTTTTCAGAAGTTTGCCATTTATAATAGTGACTTATGATCATTCTTAACTTATTTGGTAAAACAGAAGAAATGATTCCATTTGGGTAATAGTGACAATTTTTCATATTTTCTTTATAGTTATGTGAATGCATATAGACAAACTTTCTTCCAAACTTGGATGGAAAATATTTTTACTCTTTAAAAGTGATAGTATTATACCCAATGAAAAAGAAATGCCTTTTTTTGTGTGTGCATTTCTGTGATAGAAGTCCTATTTTATATTTTCACACTGCCACTGCTGATTTTGCTGTGGTGGTGGTGAAGAATTTTTAGCCTTTTCTCCATCAAATGTTAAACCAGACGTCTGATTTTAAAACTAAAGACTAAAAATTGATAGAATATATGCAGCTCAGTATGTGGTTCTTGCAATATATGAACTAAAGAGAAAGTGTCCAAATTAACATTAAGAATAATCTTCGAAAATATGCCATGTATACTTTTATATATCTATATACATATGTGTGTATATCTATATATATGTGTGTGTGTACATATATATGTACATATATATATATCCTACTGGTGTGTATGTATGTGTGTTTGCATGTGATTATCTTGAACGAAAGGATATCAGGGCAGAGGAAATGCAAAATAGATTTTTTGAACTGAGACCAAAAGCTTATATTGAAGTGTAACTTGGTATTCATTTTTAAGAAAAATGTATATGGAAGAGCAGTTCTTTCCAGAGTAACTGAGAACTTCCCTTCGACAACAGAATTTTGGTTTTCTTTCTTTGTAAGAAAAGTATCCGGCATCCAAATCTGTAAACTGAGTGGCAGCTCCAGGGATTTTGTTTTAGATGGAGATGTAGCTATCAAGCTCCACCAATTTTCTCATAGAAGTATGTCCTGTTTGGATGTGGTGGGCTTGTTTATCTTAGGAAAGAAGGACTGGTAGCATAATTCCCCTGTATTTTCAGGAATGGTGGTGATTATTAACAGGCTGCCATTTTAAAATAGTAATATGACATCTTTGCCCCCCCCCCCCTTTTTTTTCTTTCTGCCCTGCATCAATTGCAGAAATTCAGCCTTCAGCCTCTCCCCTTCCCCCTCGGCCTTCTGCAGTTGTGGTTGTTACTTAGCGCAGGGCCATTTAATATGGAGTCTGCTCCCAAACCAGATGCATTTTCATCTGTTTTATCTGCTCGTCTAAGGTTGTAGAGTCTCAGAGGATCCCACAATCACATGGAAGTGTCTTCTGTCTTAATATTTGTAGCCCACAATAAGAATAAAAATCAAAACCATAACTCATGTCGAGCTGGGGCTTTGACTTTAATCCTTTTGACTTTTATCTCAAGTCTTCACTCTGTTACTATAAATACAGTTTAAACCATTGTGAAAGGATCTTCATGCTTCTTTGTAAAAAATGGGGATTTGACAGGACTTTGTTTTACTGCACTAAGGGGTTTCTTTGTTACTGGCTTAACACAGAACATACTGTTATTTATATATTTAGTCTAGGTTAATTCTTTCTTTTTTTTGACATGCAAAAATGTTGTTGCTTTGAGAAGTGCTTTTTGATAGTTTCATCAGTTTGTTCTATAGGGAATGCTGCTGTTAAGATAATGGTTCAATGTATTAATTTGTTCCCTGAGTTTCCTTCTATTTGTTTTGTTCCTTACAATCTTTGTTTAGTCTCACTGGCACCTGAAAATAAATCTTAACAATCTTCAATAGCTTTGTGCTTGGTAACATGGCTGATTTATTTGCTTGTGGTTTAGATACATTCACACAGATAATGAATATCGGTGGGTTTTTTTGGGGGTGGGTGGGGTTCAAGGTGACCTTTGGAAAAAATTTTTAATGGCAGATTTGCCTCATTGTTGGGAAAAAAGCAGGCACATACTCCTTTATGCCCTAGCAGAGTTACTGAAGGTTTTAAGTAAATTGAACTTTTGTAAATCATACTGTATTAAAAATTAAGTAGGGGTTTATTAATTAAAGGAAATCTGTGTGAATCTTTTGCACAGTGAAGATTCTTCTGCATAATGCATTATATTCTAAATAAACTGTTAGGGTTTTTATCAAATAAAACTGAATGGTAATGGTCGCTGTTAAACTAGAAAACAATTCATAATTGTTCATTTACAGATTGCCTTGCCTTTTGTTTTTGTATTTTAGAAATAAGTATAATTTTTCAGGGGTGATGAACATAGCATAGAGCAGAGAGTGTTGGTCTTGCTTTTGGAATTTTCTCACTGTGTTAGTGGTGCTTAGATTTTAGGTTAGGACCAGGCCTTTGTAACAGCGGAGAACATTTTGACTTGTGATTTGGGGTAAGCCCCAAAGGTGTACGTGAGCATAACTGTGACAGTGCTTACTGATTTAAGAGACTGGCTGATGTGTTTGGCAAATGAAATTTTATTTTCAATAGCTTACATTTCAGTTGGCTTGCTTCAGCTGTTTTCTGTGATTCACACATAGCATCATTTCTTTATGTCTATATCATCATCTTTCTTTCAGATATGGAACTTAAATTTTCATTTTGCAATTTCAAAGATGGAAAAGAGTTAGCAAGCTCTGTGCCTCTCTTAAAAAAAAAAGGAGTTTCAAGTTGGGGGGGGATGTTTGAAATAATGAGGAATGTGAACTTGGGGCAGTGTACAGGTTGTTAATTTTTTATTTCCTGCTGACATGAAAGAGAAT